AAGCCCTAAATGCCTAAACCCCTAAAGCCCTAAACCCCTAAAGCCTACAACCCTGAACCCTGAACCTTAGGCCTGGAGGCTTAAGCTCAGCTCAGGTTGGCATCGAATGCCCTGGTGAGTGCGACCAAGTGAGCCCCTTGCCTCCAACACCAATATGCTCTAAATTTAAGGCAATATACTGTAATGTACTGAGGAAATATGTAAATAAATAAATGGATAAATAAGTAAATATAAATATATGTATATATATATACATATATATATATATGATTATATATGTATGTATATGTATATATATACACACACATACATACATATATACACACATACACACACGTAACGAGCTCACTTTCCGCGAGGGCTCAATGAGTGGATCGCCAAGCTCCTGATGGAACGTGGCACGGACATCTTCCGCACCAAGGGCGTCCTGGCGGCCCCTGGGCAGGAGATGAGTGCTTTGATGCAGGCATACAGTTCCATACAGTACAGTACCATACAATCTTATACAGTACTGTACAGACTCTGCAAACACGATACGATGCGATATGACACGATACAATACTATTGTAGACTGTACTTTGCACTATACTATACTATCCTATACTGCATACTACATATTACATAATACATGTTATAGATGATAGCACGTTCCCTTTACTATATGTTATAGGCTATATGCTGATTGCTATATGCTGTAAGCTATATGCTACATACGATTTATGCGCTATTCACTAGTATGCAGTTATCGCTTTTTTGCACCATGCACTATAGACTATATATGCCATACAGTATACACTAGACACTGTTCACTGTACACTGTACATTGTACACTAAACACTGCACGCTACACACAGCGCACTAGGCTAGGCTAGACTAGACCCTAAACCCTAAATACTAAACCCTAATTCCTAAACCCTAAACTCTAAACCTTAAACCCTGAACCCTAAACCCTAAACCCTAAACCGTACTAGATAGCTCCGGTGAGCTCCACTGTCAGGTGAAAGGCAGCGACCAGAAGTTCGTCTTCCAAGGCATCCACATGCCCCTCGGCGAGTGCGCAGTCCGTCAAGCGCGGCCTCCGAAATGGGAAATCGAAAGACCCAAACAAACGGTGATAACAAACGAAATCGACCAACTATTTTCCTCCGAAGAGCTAAATCCTAAGCCCCAGACACTCCGACTAAGCAGAAAAACCCTAAACCCTAAACCCTAAACCCTAAACCTAAGCCTTCAGCAAAACGACTCCCAGCCTCCACACCCACTTGCCGCCCCTCGTCGGCCCTTTTGCAACCTCTATAAGTCCTATAGCCCCCATGTGCAGTTATAGAACCATAGTGCCCTTAGAGGAGCCTTAAATCAACCCCTAAACCCTAAACCCTAATTTCCTAGACCCTAAACCCTAAATCCTCTTCAAAAAAATCCTAAACCCTAAACCCTAAACCCTAAAAGCCCTAAACCCTAAATTTTAAAAACCCTAAACCCTAACTCCAAGAGGATCTTCGGTGGCCAACCTCAAGAGCCTTGGCCCCAAGGGCCTCCGAGCGAGCGGCTGAACCAGCCGAGGGCTCAGAGGGTTTTTTTCGGGGGCCTTTTCTCAGGTTTTTTTTTTAGGCTTTTTAGGCTTTTAGGGTTTTCAGGGTTTTTGGGCTTTTTGGGGTTTTTAGGCTTTTTAGGCTTTTCAGGGTTTTTAGGGTTTTTAGGGTGTTCCGGGTTTTAGGGTTTTTAGGGTTTTCAGGGTTAGGCTTTAGGCTTTTCAGGGTTTAGGGTTCAGTGCTTTCAGGGTTTGGGCTTTAGGCTTTCGGCGTAGGGTTTAGGATTTAGGGTTTAGGGCTATTGGCTTTAGGCTTTAGGGCTTCAGGGTTTTGGGTTTCTGTTTAGGGTTTCGGGCTTGGGGGTATTGGGGTATTGGGGTTTTGGGGTTTTGAGGTTTGGGTTTAGGGTTTAGGGTTGTGGGATGTAGGGAAGCGGAGAGTTCGGTGGCTCTGTGTTTCTGTGCCCTGAACGCTGTACGGTGTGCCTTTGCATTCCGAATTGCGAGAACCCCCTAAACCGCTTATAAGGCTTTGCAGAACCGGTATGGGAGCCAAGTGCTGACCCCTAATCAAGCACGAGGCCAGCTCCCATGGCCCCCAAAACCCAAAACCCTAAACCCGAGACCCTTGAACCCTAAACCCCTCAACCCCTAAACCCCTAAAGCCTGAAAGCCCTAAACCCTAAACCCGAAAGTTTCTTATAGATCCCCTTAAAAAGAACCCTTATAAGATCTGGGCCCCGAAGGCCCCGAGAGCCTATGACCAGGTTGGTCTTCATCGGCCGCAACCTGAGCCGGGCGGAGCTGGAGGGCGGCTTCAAGTCTACCTTGGCCTGAGAGGCCGGGTTCTGGGGGGCCTTATAAGGCTTTGTTGAGAAGGATTTGGGGTTGTAGGGGTTTGTTTGCTGAGGGTTCTTTTTGGGGCGTTTATGAGGGTTTTAGGAGAGTTTTATAGTGTTGCCTTGTGGTTTTTCATAAGAGTCTGATTCCGGGGTTCGTAGGTGTTTAAGGGTTTTGTAGCGTCTTCAGTGTGAGACCTCGCGCCACCCTGGCTGCCGAGGCTTTTGGCCCTTGCGCCCTCATCATTTTCTCCGCCTGTGGAACTCCGCGCGACTGCGAGACACGGTGCTGACAAAAAAGGTACAGTTCATCTTGAGTAAACCCTTAAAGATCCCTTATAGAAGCCTTATAGACCCTTTGAAGGAACCCTTAAAGGACCCCTCTTCAAAGGAGCCCTTAAAACGGACCCCTCTAAAGGACCCCTTTAAAGGACACCTTTAGAGGACGCCTTCAAAGGAACCCTTGATTCGAGGTCTGGGTCCTCCATCCGGAAAGAGGGCAGCTGTGTTTTGTGCGGTCGGCGAGTTCGTGAGAGGGCTTCGCTCAGACATTGCTGTCGTGTTTAGCGGCTAAGAGTTTAGGGGTTTAGGGGTTTAGGGAGTTCAAGAGCTGAAGATTTGGGGATCATGTGCAAGCTTTCCCCGGTGATTCTAGACTTGTCGCAGGTTTTAGAGTCCGGACAATGCGTGTTGCACCTGGGCGCCCAGGGCAGGCCTCTGAGGACCTTCGCTCCAAAACCCTAAGGCTTTCGCTCCAAAACCCCAAACCCTAAACCCTAAACCCTAGAAGCCTCAACCCTAAAACCCCCTTTTCCACAAGTACTCTTGTAGATCCTCACAGGAACCCTTATAGGACCTAAAAACCCTAAACCCTAATTTTGAAACCCCTAAAACCCCGAAGCCCTAAACACCGGAAACCCTAAACGCCCTAAACCCTAAACACCGGAAACCCAAAAAACCCTAAACCCGAAACCCTAAAACCCCTGAACCACTAAACCCCTAAAGCCCTAAAACCCAAAGCCTCGAAACACCTAAAAGCCCTAAAAACCCCTAAAACCCCCTAAAGCCTTAAACACCCAGCAAAAACCTTCAGTCCCCCCGGGCAGGCGCTGCAGCGGCTGGCCGACCGAGCGCAGGCCGGCGACATCGAGGAGCCGTCCAGGCCCCAAAGAAAGAGCACCGGAAAGCTCTGAGGTTTTTTTTTTGGAGTTTAGGGGTTTTTAGGGGTTTAGGGGTTTATAGAGGTTTCGGGTTTAGGGGTTTATAGTTTTTTTTTTCCGGGTTTCGGAGTTGAGGGCTTTAGGCTTTGGGGGTTAGGGTTTAGGTTCTTTAGGGTTTGGGGTTCATATGGGTTTTGGGGTGAAGATTTTTGGGTATATCGGGTTCTCCAACTCTAAACCCTTGAAGGGTTTCGGGGTATAGAGCTGCTAGACCCTAAACCCTAAACCCTAAACCCTAAATACCCTATATACCCTAAATTAAATACCCTAAATACCCTAAATACCCTAAATACCCTATACCCTAAATACCATAAATACCCTAAATACCCTAAATACCCTAAATGCCCTAAATACCTTAAATACCCTATACCCTAAACTCCCCCACCTGTAGTTTCCTTTAGTCCATGGAGCTGAGGTCCCACAACGACGGCGCTGTCGCCTCCGACGTGCCGCGGCCTCGGCGCCGAAGCGGATCGAAGCGGCGGTTCAGGGTTCAGGGATTGGGGGTGTAGGGGTTTTAGGGTTCAGGGTTTAGGGGTGTAGGGGTGTAGGGGTTTTAGGGGTTTAGGGTTCAGGGGTGCAGGGGTGTAGGGGTTTCAGGGGTTTTAGGGTTCAGGGTTTAGGGGTGTAGGGGTGTAGGGGTTTTAGGGGTTTAGGGTTC